GAACATATGACTTGTGATTGTAGACAGGTTCCATCATTAAAAACCTCCACACAAACCGTAGTCAATGTTGCTAATGGTAATGTCGTCCCTGTTATTGGGGAAGGCACTGTTTCCCTTTCTGATACCATGAAACTTGACACTGTTCTTGTGGTTCCCTCTCTAAATTATAAGTTGTTATCCGTTGCCCAAATAACCCTTGCCTTACACTATTTGGTTGTTTTTTGGCCCTATTTTTGTGTTTTTAAGGACATCCGGACGCGGAAGACGATTGGTTATGGTATTAGACGAGGGAAGCTTTATTACCTGGAGTTGACAACTAGTGGTTCTGGCTTGCTGACTCAAGCTCTTTCCGTTGCTGATTCTCAATGGGATAATAATAAAGTGTCGGACATCTGGATATGGCATCGGCGCCTTGGGCATGCTTCTTTTGGTTATCTACATAAATTATTTCCTAATTTGTTTGTCAAGAATGATGTTTCTCAGTTTAAGTGTGATGTTTGTGAAATGGAGAAGAGCCATCGAACTTCCTTTCCTCCCAGTTTAAATAAAAGTTCGGTTCCTTTTATGGTTGTGCATTCTGATGTATGGGGTCCGTCAAAAATAGCTACTCTTGGTGGTGCTCACTGGTTTATCACTTTTATTGACGATTGTACAAGAATGACTTGGGTTAGTTTGTTAAAGTCGAAAAGTGAAGTTAGTTCGGCCTTTCAAAAGTTCCATAAAATGGTTGTTGTGCAGTACAACATGAATATCCAGGTTCTTAGAAGTGACAATGGCAGTGAATATGTTAATATGGAACTTCGTTCCTTCCTTGAACTGCATGGTATTGTTCATCAGACCACATGCACGTATACTCCTCAACAGAATGGGGTTAGCTGAACGCAAAAATAGACACTTGTTAGAGATGGTTCGTGCTTCGCTCATTGAGGCACATCTGCCTCTACATTATTGGGGTGAAGCACTTACGTCTGCAGCCTATCTTATTAATCATCTTCCTTCTCGTACTATCAACTTCCATACGCCATTTCAGACTCTCATGTCTCATACGAGCTGTCCATCGACTCCAAATTTTCCCCCCGGGTCTTAGGGTGTGTTGCTTTTGTTCACCTTCATCCTCTTCAACAAAACAATAAACTTGAGCCTCGAGCCCTCCGTTGTGTGTTTTTGGGTTATGCCACTACTAAAAAAGGATATCGTTGCTATTATCCTTCGAGTAGGAAAATGTTTATCACTCAAGATGTGATTTTCCATGAGCAGGACATGTTTTTTGGATCATCCGAGTCCTCACTTCAGGGGGAGTACCGAGACAATGAAGTTCTGACCCTTGATTATTTTCCCGTGGCTAGCAATGAGCTGCACAAAGAGCAGCAATGACAGTCTTCACATTTGGAGCCCACGACACATGAAGAGCAACAACGCACAATTGTAGGTGATCAACAGCAACCAGCAAATCAGCATATTGTCCAGCCCACGGGTCCCACGGGTGTTAGGCTTGAAAGGTATATGCAGGACCAGCCCTCGGGTCATACGGGCTTTGGGCTTGAAAGTGAGCTGCAACCCACTGTTTTCGATGGAACCGAGCCGCAACAACACACTAGTGTCAATAGCACCGAGAAGCAATTATCACAGAATGCTTCTCCAAATGTTATATCAGGTCTAAGTATGGACTCGTCGTCTGTTAATTCTTATAACCAATCGTCTTCTACACCGGATGCACCTCAACTTCGTCGCCTTCCAGAGCGTGAGATATCCATTAAATAATTATGTGTAAACATAAGTATTCGGTAAGTGAACCAAATTCAGATTCAAGAGTGAGATATCCATTAAATAATTATGTGTCTACCTGTCACCTGTTAGAATCAAATAAGTCATTTGTACATCAATTATCTACTGTATCTATTCCTAATAGTGTGCATGAGGCCTTAACAGATTCCTGCTGGAAAGATGCAATGAACGAAGAATTGAGATCGTTGAAGAAGAATGCTACCTAGGAAATTACTAACTTACCAGCTGGAAAGAAATCTGTGGGATGCAAATGGGTCTATACAATGAAATACAAAGCAGATGGAATGGTGGATCGCTTTAAAGCAAGATTGGTGGTAAAGGGACATACACAGAAATATGGCATCGACTGCATTGATACGTTCGCACCAGTGGCAAAGATCAATACAGTCTATGTTCTACTGTCCATTGCAGCAAATCTAGATTGGCCTTTGCAACAATTTGACGTAAAAAATGCATTCCTCCATGGAGATCTAACCGAGGAGATTTACATGGACCTTCCACCAGGGTGTAATGATCCGGACATACGGAAACAAAAGGTATGTAGGCTCAGGAAATTGTATGGGTTAAAGCAGTCTCCGAGAGCTTGGTTTGGTAGATTTACCAAGTCCATGAGAACATTCGGTTATAGGAAAAGTAATTGGGATCACATGTTATTCCTGAAACGCCAGAACGGTAAGGTTACAGCTCTCATTGTATATGTGGATGACATGGTGATGACTGGTAACGACCCTGGTGAGCAAGCAGCCTTGAAAAAGTATTTGTTCGCGGAATTCGAAATGAAAGATCTGGGTTCGTTAAAATATTTCCTTGGGATTGAAGTGTCAAGATGTAAGTCCGGGATATTTCTATCACAAATGAAGTATGTTCTTGACCTGTTAGAAGAAACTGGTATGTCGGCATGTAAGCCGGTAGCTACTCCGTTGGCTGAATGAGTGAAGTTGGGTATCGATCAGAACCAAGTACCGGTTGATAAAGGGAGATACCAAAGGTTAGTAGGAAGATTAATGTACTTGGCCCATACTAGGCCGGATCTTGCTCATGCATTAAGTGTAGTTAGTCAATATATGCATAATCCAGGAGAACGACACATGAGTGCCGTTATGAGAATATTGAGTTAATTGAAAGGAAGCCCTAGTAAAGGAATTTTGTTTCGGAAAAATGGGCATTTCAGAATTGAGTGATATACAGATGCAAACTGGGCAAGATTGACGGATGATAGGCACTCGACATCGGGGTATTTCACCTTTGTTAGGGGAAATCTAGTAACATGGAGAAAGCAAGAAGCAGAATGTCGTAGAAAGGTCAAGCGCGGAAGCCGAATTTAGAGGTACGGCACTTGGTATTTGTGAAATCTTATGGCTTAAGTTTCTGTTAGAAGACTTGGGGGTTAAACATGGTCAGCCGATGAAGTTATTTTGTGACAATAAAGCTGCTCGTGATATCGCTCATAATCCAGTGCAACATGATCGAACTAAGCATGTAGAGGTTGACAGGTTCTTTATTAAAGAGAAGCTAGAAATCAAAATAATTGAGGTTCCTCCCATAGGAACGGAAGACCAAGTAGCAAATATTCTCACTAAGGCGGTTTCAAGTGACAAGTTTTCGAGGTTTCTAGACAAGTTGGGCATGTGCAACATCTATGCACCAACTTGAGGAGGAGTGTTGACTTGTATTAGGATTCCTATAATTGTGGGATTCCTACCATATTTGGTTTCCTAGTTTAGGATGTAATTATTCTTTCCTTTATTGTGATAGGATTGTATATGATTGTATATATACCTTTGAATGAGATGAATACAAAATCATTGAAAAGCATTCTTTCTTCTTAAACGAGTCATAAATAGTCTCCATATATATATCGTTTTTCTAATGTTATCGCATGTGCATAGCTCTGTAGCATCGGCTCCAAATACATCACTTAAAAGATAAAAAAAATAGGTATGAAACAAAATGACAAGAGAGCTGCTAGACCCATGCCCACAAAATCCTATTTCCCCACCCCATCTTATAGTCTCACCCCTCATAAAAACTTTGGTTACCTGTCGTCCCGTCCTTGGCGATTACCCTAATTAACTTCCAAACTATCGGTCGTCGCAAGGGAGGATTCATTCTAATTTGATCTTTCGATCAATCAGCCTCCAGGCCATCTCTGCGTCGTGTGGACGTTCCGCTCGTGGTACACCTCGTACTTCCCGAACAGGTTCACCTGTCTAGAGCTGGAAACTCCAAAAAATATCCCAATTCTTCCTCATTGTATTCGCCGCTGATATCAACAAAGAATCAGTTGGAGCTTTGAAATGCTTTCTCCGGAAAAATCTCAATGGTGTCGTTTGGATTCGAAATATAAGAAGTTCAAAAATAAATTTTAAAAAATTTGATCCGAGAAGATTCAGAGGAAAGTGTGTTTTCTGAAACGGATTGGTTGGGCTCTTTTCTTTTTTTCTTAATTTTATTCTCATTTTTTCATTTTTTCTCTTCTTCCATTTTGAAGAAAGCTTCTTCGTCTACTTTAATTTTTTTTTTTATTCTTTTGGCTATAAAATAGTTTAGGATTAATTTTCATTAGGGCTTTAGAAGTCATTTTACAAAAAGTCAAATATGCCATTAAAATTTTCATTTAAAAGTGGGTGGAGAGATAAGGTTGTGAGGTGGGTTTAGCAGCTCTCAATAACAAATGAAAACCCTAGCTATTAATTGAGCTTATCATCTCACTATGACAAGTTTTTTAACATGAAAACATAGTCAAAGACGTAAGTTTTTCAAAATATTCTAATGAAATTGAGTAGATATCAACTTTTCTATAAAAAGTATAATCAATGGAGTATTTTCTCAAATTGCTTTTGATTATTTGGACTATAAAATAATCTAATATCATGCTCTCAAAATATGTGAAAATAGATGGAAGTCAATATTATTATTTTTTTAGTTTTAAATATTGCTGGAATATGCTAGAATCCAGAATGAAACTATAACAATTCTGTGTAAAAATTTCTAGTCTAGTAATATATATAAAAGCTTCATATAGACGAGGTAGGAAAATACATTATTGTTGTGGGGCTAAAGATCTTATCAAAACAATGTTTTGTCCAACAAAATCTATGGGCTCTTCTTTTCTGGGACCCTCCCAAGATTTTCTGTCACTTACTTCTCTCTATATAACCTCCTGCTCGCCTTCACCTAAAGCCCCCCCCTTTCATCCCTCTCTCAATCTCAACACACACCCAGCAAAATTTGGCCAGTTAATCTACCTTCATTTTATTTTTGGTCAATCGTATATCTTGAATTTCTTTTTTTCAGTTTTTAACCAATTGGTCCCTAAAACTGCAATTGAGCTTTTAGATCTTTTCTTTTTTTCTAACTCCAGCTGAGAAAATGGAGAGTCAGAGTGGTAGAAAACAAGGTTCTACGTCTCCATGCGCAGCATGCAAACTTCTGCGAAGGAGATGTGCTCAGGATTGTGTTTTTGCTCCTTATTTTCCAGCTGACGAGCCCCAGAAGTTTGCCAGTGTCCACAAGGTTTTTGGTGCTAGCAATGTCAACAAGATGCTACAGGTTCAACTCTCTACTCTATAAGTACGTACTTGATAAGTTTGTGCAATATATACGTAGCATTATTCTTTAGGGCTTATGTGATCTTTACCAGATTCATGTCATACTGTTAACATCTCAATCTAAATTGTACATTCAAATAAAAGATTTTTCTACCAAAAAGGTCTAGTCAAGAGTAAGACAATATATAATGCCCTTGAGGTTTCAGGGTGAGGGAGAATGATGAAATGTATTGGGGTTATGACAGGTTAATGGTTAAACCATTTCAATGTAATTTCAAATTGTCCGGTAAGATACCATTTCTCTTATTGTGCATATTGAAGCAAAGAATAGATGGAATTACGGCTTTGGATAGTTACAGTAAACTTCTAATTAACATAATTAAGGCAGTACTATTACCCCAATCAAATATTTTTATGAATTTATTTTGAGAATGCTTTGAGGAAGGCTATGTTTGGATAAGAGATTTCTATGTCTAAATTAGAAATGCCTTCATAAGCATCAGACTGCAAATCCCTACTTGGGAGGAGTCGATTACAAAATCCATCTCACATGTCTTATTCACAACGGACATTTTTAATCATTCCTATCTAACATTTTATGATCCATTCCTTGATAACTTGGCTCTATTTCCTTGGGACTTCTGGAAATTCCTCACTTAAATCTAACCAGTTTCTCTTCAAGGCCGTCAACTCTAAATGAAAGAAAGTGACTTGGGAAGGACATTGCAACATGTCTTGTCTTAGTTAATTTCTTGTTCTTGTCATTACAACAATTGTAGCATGGATGTGGGGCGAGTTGAGGGTTAAATGAGTAATATACCCAAAAGGCATAAAATATACTAAGATTCAGTTTTAGGAGATAAAAACAATGTTTCAGTTGTTGGCCATAGATTACATGAGGTGGTTACTTCTAGCTATCATCTCAGCTGAAAGAGATGGCTTTATTAAGTTATGATCCACGCCATTTAATGTTTAAAAGCATCCACATCACACTTCATCGATCAGATCCTTAGTTGTTATAAAATCTAAACATATATATGTGTATGTATGTGTGTGTGACTCGACCCGCGCGCATGTAAAAAGCACTTTGATTCTATCTTTTGTTGGTGTCTTATAATGATGAAACCCATATTATAGGTAGCTAGCATGTGGCAAGGAAAAAACATGCATGCCTTAGTTTGTCCAAAGGAAAAGAAACAAAAAGGAAAAGCAGTCATTCTAACAAAGAACTAAATTATCTCTAAAAACTAATTGATAAGATGTTGGCTAATTGATACACAACAATTTTCTTCTTTCACTCAAAAGAAAAAATGAAAATGATGATGTAGACCACGCATGTTGTAAGGATCATCGTGTAACTCTTGTAAACATTTCCCTACTTGTGAGCTTTTGCAATATTAAACAATTTCTCAGCTGTTAAACTAGTTGATTTTTCAATGCATCTAGAAATATAGAGTAGTGTTGTACTTACCATTTAGTTGTACCATCACTTGTATTATCTCTCTAATAGAGAGCCCACCAACGCATGCAGATCCCATCTCTATCAGAGAGATGGTACAAGTGATGGTACAAATAGATGATAAATATAGATTATACAAATAGATGGTACAAATAAATAGTAGGTGTAGCATTATTCTTTTGAGAAATATATGTATACATTTGACACATCCCGAACCAAATAGCCATGTAGGCGATGCGTCAAACTGTGCTAGCCAATGATATCGTGTGGTTACGAAGCCATAATAAAGTAATTAATATGTGACAATTAAAAATTTCAGGTCCAATTCTACTAAAAATCCAGCAGAATCTCCCCTACAAATACAATAATACCAAATAAAATCTTGCAGGGGAAAACACAGTTAAAACTCAACTTCCCCGAAGGGCACACCAAAGGGTTTATACCTTTTATTACCTGTCACATAAGTTCATAGCACAGAAGTAGTAAAGCAACAATATACACAAGTAGTCATGCAATGTGCAAGAGTAACTGTAAATTCGTTTATTTATTACGACAACTAAGACAATAGACAGAGAGTATGATCACCCTATTCCGTAAGAGAGTGTACGACTACGCCAACTAGGTCTCACATGGAGGCAAAAACAAAGTGTGAGGGAATCGTAATCAATCATCAAGTCAAAATATTTACGAACATATATATACTAACCTTCATTTAGAAAAATTGTATAGTTTAAAATTACGTACTAGTATCTACTACGTAATAGTTGAAAAATACATATTAGTCAGAAATCAAAAATCATACCTGAGGAACTACCATATTAACAACATCTACTAGTGCGAGTACATGCACATGTGTGCACGGCGTCTAACTTTGTAATACTAGCATCCACTGACTATCAATCACACTAGCGTCTACTAGTGAATCTACCATCTACTAGAAAATATAACACATGCAAACATTCTATTGTCGTAGAGAAACTATACTCTATGTTTACAGACCATATGTTGAAAATAAATACAATATAAATATAAATAACATTTTAATATCATCTAATCATCGCAATCCAAAATCTAGTCTCATCTAAGACTAATATCAAAGGCATGCAAGTTTTATTAAAACATGTTCGTCAAAATATTTAAGAAGAGATCTACTTACAAAGATTCAGATCAATCCTCCTCAACATGTGGCTTCTCTTTGTTTATCTTAGGGGAACTCGCACCTGTATCAATATATTGGCTCCATCCAAGGAAAAATCTAATTTTGGTGGGTTGTGTTGCTATTCATGCTATTATTTTATTTGAGTCTTTATCAACCAAATTGATACCATGCTATTATTTTATTTGAGTCTTTTATTGACCAAATTGATACCTTCTTACTGTTTTAGGTAGAAAAATATTCAAAAAAGCTAAAAATATGTTCTTCCATTTCTTTGCTCCACCTTTACCCGGTTATTGTGGTTAAATACAGTTGAAAACCGCCGGTCGTTATTTACATTTTCAATGTCCCAACCTATTTCTCAAATAACTTTAGAGTCAAATGCTACATAAAGATGCTCCAATTTTCCAAAAGGAAAAGGAAATTCGGCTGTTTGCTTAAGTATTCAATTGGCCATTTTGCTTTATTAGGGTTAGATAAAGACAAAATAGATATCATATAGTCCAAAAATGATGTTGATCCCCACGTAAGTATAAGTAAAAGTTCTTGAATATTGTAAGGTTTCAATAAAATATAGAATCTAAATATTACACTACCATGATGTCACGATGACATCTATTCATTTAAACTCGTAAAATGCCTACGGCTGTTAATCTCATTCATTACATTACATCCTTATTTTACACGCTTTAGCAAGTCAAACCATACATAAAAGATTAAAGATAAAAATTAGGGTTACAAAACCAAATCAAATAAAAGTTAAAACTAAATGGTATATTAAAGATAATAGTTATTAACTATTATTATATAAAATATATATATATATATATAATAGTTGGTTTTGGATATCAGTACCATACCAAATATCTTTGGTTCGACACCATTACTGTTTGGCACAAATAATTGATACAAAATTAGTATGGTAATGTTATGGGTAAGGTAGAATGACAAAAAATTATTAAGTGTCTCATACAAATCGGTTGGAGTGTGAAAATAACTCCATTGAATTGATGCCTTTTGTTGATTTTCTTCTCTAACTTTCATGGTCGATCACTTAATCCACAAAACCAGGCCAGTGATATGGCTTAGAGGACTTTAACTTTTTCATCGTCAAACTTTATATTTCCCAATAAGATCAGATCAATTCTTCTTCTTTTCTTTTGTCATTTTCTCAAGTGCTTGTCTACACAAATACTATTACTTCATAGAAAAAGCTAGGGCTTGCGGTACAAGAAGGAAAATTAGGGTTTGTATATAAGGTGCGGCAAAGGAAAGAAACCTAGGCTTTAGAAAATAACTGATACCATGTAGAAATATTGAAATTGAATTGATTGATTGATCTCAGAAGGTAATAAACTTCTTTATACATGCATCACAGGCCTTAGACTTCAAAGATTAGGATTCTTGGAAAATAGAAAAGCTAAATTTACATCTAATTACAATACTTATGAAAAAAAAATACTAACTAGGGTTTTATTCTATCACGTCTACTTTACCATTATTAAATGAAGTTTCAATGGGTATTACTTAGGAATTACCAGAGCACCAACGCAGTGATGCAGTGAGTTCCATGGTGTATGAAGCAAATGCAAGAGTCCGGGATCCTGTGTACGGTTGTGTTGGAGCAATATCATCTTTACAACAACAAATCGACGCACTCCAAACCCAATTGGCCATTGCACAAGCTGAAGTGGTGCACATGAGAATGGGCCAATTCGCTATTACCACTACTACTGCTTCAACGACTACTTGCTCACCAGACCAAAAGATGGCACCTGATAATTCTCATCACCACCATCATCATCGCAGTCATCAGACGGCTACCACCAAGTCCTTTTTTTCAATGGACATGGCGGCCGATCAGGCCAATATGGGAGAGTCTTTGTGGTCATGCTAGCTCTACCTACCTGAATTTGCATGCCTCTATGCCACTTTGATTAGTTAATCTGTTTTGCTATAATATTTAATATGTCTGCTATCTCCTCTTTAGTTATAGTACGTACCTCTTTTTTTTTCTCTTTTACTTTCTTATGTAGTGCATTTCTCTCTCTACTTGACCAGGGATGCGATGATGATTAATTAGTTGACCATATTGTAAATATGTCTAAACTTTGTAAGTATGAGTTTTTACTTAAAATATTGTTAATATATATATGGTGAAATTCTTGATGTGATGAATACTACAGTTTAATTTGTGTTATATGATCATGTTATGTTGTATATAGTTCGTTTGTGTTATAAAATATCTATCATTTATCAAAAATACAACTTAAAATATAAATATGAACGTTGTCAATACCTATATCATATGTAATATGTGAAATTAATATAACTTCACGTGACAGTACCCTAGGATTCTATTTTATTATGAGGTTGTTGACTGCCTTTTTAAGCACTATCATATATTATTATACTTTATTTCATTTTAGGGTTAAAATTACTATATCATATGTAATTAATTTATCACTGCAGATATATAAACCATCTCGTAACAATTAATTAAGTCATAGTAGGATACGGGGTAGTTTCACACCCTCTATGATCATATATTACTGCTAGCAATATGAAATATGATGACCTAGCTTAGTTAACTAATCCCTTGTTTAATATTAGTAAGTATGCATAAAACTGTATTTTCTGACGTGGGTTTGGTGTGTGTATATATATTGTTGGTTTCTAGCTATTGTAGCCTGATACAAATCAAGTAACGCTCTTTATATCATTGGCCACTATAGGTGTCCCACTGCTTAAATTAATGTTTTCACTAAATTATGAAAAGAACATCACAACTAAATCTCCAAATGAGAAAACAGTAATCAAATTAATATAGACGTGGAAGTAAAAATCTCCACACAATAGAAATCAAAGGAGAGATTATTTTTTTGAAACTTACGCCTAATTCTCGTGGTGTCACTGATTTATTAAATGTTTGTCATGTGTTAAAAAATTATCTCATTATTAATAAATATTTGTCATGTGGCGTCACCAATTATAGGAGAGTATCTCTCGTAGAAAAATGTCATTTATGCAAGTAAGCACACACATAGTTATGCATATGCTCAATAAGGATTAGTCATCACAAAATGAAATTACATACCTATGTTACAGCGGCCAATAAGTCCCTGCTGCATCACATTTTGAGCATGAAAATGATCGGGTTCGGTGGATTACTAAGCAACAATCAGGTTGCTCTAGCCCAACTGTACTCATCAGTCCATATCCAAGTCCAGTTACCTGCTAGTTTCTACAGTTTATTTCATTTTCATTCGGATTTCTGATGGATCACCTCAACAGGCTCAACTGCTTGTACTTGATGGACAAGAAAGCTTCCAATCAGTCAAGTGGATCGGTCCAAAACAGAGAAAGAAAACACACGTCAAGTTTTAGAAAGGGTATTTCAACATCACTGTATTCAATTGTCATGCATCTAATTCAGTTCATCAAAGAATAGGGAAAAACGGATTTGTTCAAGCAATCAGGTCATTTATTGTTTTATTTCATACCACACATTAGAGAATATTCATTTAATACAAAAAAAAATATCTCTAAACTATTTAACACACTAAACCCTAATATATAACCTATAAACTAAACTGATTTACATTTCACATATTCATTAATCTCAATAGTCCCTCCTCCTAGACCAACACCTTCTAAGAGTCCAAATGGGTGTGCACTCATAATTAGGCAAGTTGGGAGGACGTTGAGGGGACAAAATAATGACAAATATTGAAAAGATGCACTTCAGATAAGACATCTTTGATAGACTTCACTATTTAAGAACCAAGTATAATGAGCATTTGTAGGCTTTATTATTCGGTATCTCGAAGTTCAATTTTTTTTCTGTGTAACTGGGACATCACAATCATATCCTTATAAGAATCTACATTGACTAAAGACAGTGAAATACAAGGAGGTGGATTGTCTGCTCTCCTATTTCCATACTCTTTCCATTTATTTCTGTTTGTGTGGTTACGGTTAAGCCACGTCAACATTTTATATTAATTTTTTTTTATAAAAATAATAAAACAAAAAGTAATAGGAATATTAAATGTTGACGTGGTTTAACCGTGACCGCACAAAATAGGAGGGGATGGAAAAAATATGAAAATAGGAGGGCAAACAATCCACCTCCGAAATACAAATACAAGGCACATATATATGTTCTATTTCTGTCATCATTTGGCTCCACAAATTCTGCATGAACTTGTGGCCTCAAGTTCAGATTATACTTTGAGTGCACACCAAAATTGGTCAACTAATACATTGTTCTTGCAATCCCATGGACCTGAGATTGCAGATGCTGCAAATGTGGCCTCTTGCTAATCTTGTGGGTCATCCATGGTGGCTATGTTGGCCATTATCACCGACACATCTTTCTGAATAGTGTTGAGATTGAGCTAAGTCTGGACGTAATTCAGCAACCCCACTGCAATAGTTTAACAATTTCATTGATTCTATATATTGGCGTCAAATATTACTATTTAGCCTTCCCTCCCCTTCAAAGGGCAGAGAACGATTTTGATCAGTTTTCATGTATATATAGTATTTGATGTATCAAGCCACTCATTAGTTTGAGGATTAATCAAAATTGTAAAACCGTAAGAGCTTCACAGTATGTACTTGTTATTCGATGCACGAGATTTCCACCATAGGACATAAAGTTTTTCTATGTTGTGGTTAACCGCATATTTTAAATACAAATATGTTGTTGATATGCGTCAATATATAAGGTTAATGTCATTGATATTATTGATATTCTCAATATCATCATGAGAATATTGTAGAGATTGTTCTTTAATTTTAACTCAATTGGAGTAATTGTCACAGCCCGTCCCGAATTATTATTATCGGTGATGTAAAATGACAGTTTTATCCTTGGATGTTGAAATTTTAGTGTGTGTGACTTATTTTGGAGACTTAGATGTTATTTCCTTGGTTGGATGGTGACCACGTGGAGCTCACACACACAACACACACCCTTTCTCTTCTCTCTCGTGCTCTCTCTCTCTCATACTCGCTCTCTCTCTTCTCTCTTGTACGGACGTCACCCAAAACCTTTTGAAACGTGACAGATCGAGGGACTGAAGCACACCATTGTGTTCGTGAAGCTCAGACGAATCGATTGGTACCATTTATAGGTAAGGAATCCTCCGATTTCACGTCGAACCATGAACCACCAATTTTGTCACTGTTCATGCATACGTGAAATATTGTTTTTCAGGGAATTTGAAGCTTATTGGAAGCTTATGGAGGTCCTCACGAGTCTCGGGGTATTTCGTTGGAAGGAAATGGACGTCGGAGGGCTGAGATCGACGTGTATCTAGGTAAGCCGAACTATCGAGCTTTCTCGGGGAAAACCTAGTAAAATTTAAGCCTTGAAACTTATATAACGTGATTCTACATGTTATTAGCTTCATTTTGGTACCAATTTTGTGGACAATGGTGAAGAAACGAAGGAGAATAAGCATTTTAAAGTTTTACCCATAAACCAGCGAAGTCGCCGGCGACCAGCGACTCGCCGGAGAAGAAATGAGTGTCTTCCATCAAGGTTGAAGGAATATGCTAGCGCCGTCAATCATCTTTAACAGTTATAGTTAGGTTTTAACGGAATATTCCTAACGGCAATTAGAGAATCCATCAGGATTCCTTGCGCGTGGCCGCGTGGCGGCGCGTGAGGGATCAAAAAAATATTCTAAAAATTTGGGAATGATCCTGAGGTTGTATAGGTCACTGTGGTATATTCAAATACAAAAATTGAGCATTGTATGAGAAGTTATTAGCTAGTTTTGCCTATGTGCTTTAAATAACGTTGTTATAGTTAATTCGCATATAGGTGAGACTTATCCCCATGACGAGCTCGTTCAGGGGTGACTCAGGGGCTACGACCCTTCGACATACCAGTGAGTGGGCTTTTGGTTTTCAGTATATATTTATATACTTGATATTTTCCCAGAAAATGTGTTTAAATGAGATTATGCCTTGAATGCCATGCATATAAGTTTATAATTCGTATATGACTTTGTATATGATGCATTATATATATAATTGTGGTACTGTGGACACTCAGGTAAGCTCAGGTGAGTTATGTTTGGTTATGTAAATTATCAATGGTGTGATATGTGATTGAATAACGTTGAGCTCATCAAACTGCACCTAGGGTGATTGTGATTTTAGCCAGAGATATGGCACAGGCCTGGTTATTATGTCACCTCCCGCACCATATGCTCATATTGGATCCAATTTAGGTGCACAGTCATGTCGTATAGACCATCTTAGGTGGTTCCAACTCGTAGGTGACTAGCGATTTATCGCTCAGTTATTATGTGTGAGTAGTATTGAGCATGATTATATTACACCCATTATTGTCGTACAGACCTTTTCATTTGGTTCCGACTCTTGTGCAGTATAGTGCCGTATAGGTCATTGTAGTGACTCCGGCTAGATTGACATTTAAGCTACTAATTCAGCCATTTAGACTACCACATGGGTTCCGGCTAATATGTTATATTTCTATGAAGTTATTCTCACCTGAATTACTTACTCTGTTATATCTTGGCATGGCATACATATGAATATGATTATGTGAAGCATGATTTGAATTGATATAATTACAAATATATTTATGTATATGCATATATCTTGATTCTGAGAAAAATTATACATGTTTTACAGCGAGGGGTTAGATATGTTGATAAATGAAATGGTTTTGTAAAACATTTGTTTTTGCCCACTCACGTTTCCTGTTTTGCGCCCCTTCAGGTTTTAGGTAAGCTTGCTGTCGGTGGCCTTGAGGATTTCAGCGGTTCTGACATATCTAAATAATAATAGGACATTCCTGGTACTGCATAAATAGTATTTGTCCTACTGGACTGCACCTAGACTTATTATGCTCTGAATAAGAGTATTTACTTTTGTAATTGACTCCTAACACTTCCTGTTTTCTAGTGCACTCTAGTAGTTTCGGTTTTTAAATATTCGTATATTTCTTATCTTAATTGCTTCCGCACTGTGCACATGGCTACGTCACCCTCACATGACGGCCATCATGTCTTGATCTCGGTTGGGGTGTGTCAGTAATAGTTCCTCAACTAAAAAGTCATGACTATTGGTCCCTTAATTCATCAAAATGTGCAGGTATGATCATTTTTGTCAACTCTATCAAAAAAGATAA